AAAAAAAAAAAAAAAAAAAAAACAATTCTGGAAGGAGCCTCACTGCCCTCCAGGACCTGGTAAGTGAGACAGTTGAGAAAAGATAAGAGAGAGAGGCGAAGCAGACACAGGTTTAACCTTAACTTCTTACTTTGGTCACACTCGTACTGATTCAAACTTTCGTAAATGTAGAAAGTTTATAATTAACAACCTAATAAAAATAAACAACACAACAGAATGACATATGACAGGCTGAGCTCCCTGACCAGGCTCACTGTGTACAAAGACCTGACCGTAAAGCCCCACCCCAGTCACTGCATGCCAAGACCATAGGCCGCTCCTAAAGGGGACACCCCCTCTTTGCACAGCAGTTTCTTACCCCCTTCAGTGCTGTGTAGACAGGCACAGTGAGATTCTTGTAGATGAGGCCAGAGAAAGGCCCAGGGGATGCACGAGCAGGAGGGCTGGAAGCTGAGCAGGGAAAGGGGAAGGAAATTAACTCAGCGGTAAAACCCAGGACCAGTGTGGGGGAGGCAGAGGACAGGGCAGACGAGGAGGACGGAGACAGCTGTGCGGGAGCAGACTAGGTAACAGATCTCAGAGGGGCCAAGGCCTTCTCTTCCTCCTTTCCATTCTCTGACTTCCTTTGAAGTGCTCCCCATGCAGTAAAGGACCCAGCACAGCAGAGTCTAAAACCCTCGCCCTTTAATCATCTTATGCTCCTGGAGGCTGGCACTCTGTCCCACTCTTGCCAAAGCTGAGTTATCAATCATGTTGGTACGGGCTCTGCCCTTGCTGCAAGAACTGTAGATTCAGAAGTCAGTGGGTGGGGCTCATCTGAGTCAGGGCACCTGGGCTCCTCACACCCACAACCCTCACCCTGCAGAAGGAAGCCTGTGCAGGTGCTGGGCTGGAGGACCCTCCAAGGTCCCTTCCAGCTCTCCGCTGGCTACAACCCTGTGATGAGCTGAACCTGCATGATTCCTTTTCCCTCCAGGTAGCCCTTGCTGTGATTTCACCTGAACTTCACCTGTTAGGGAAGGGAATGGGGTGCCAGGCAGGCCTGGCCCTGGTGTTGCTCAGAGTCTTTCCCCTCTTGCCCACCCTGCCGCGTGGGCGTTTGGTTCCCCTCCTGCCTCCCTTGGAACTCACCACAGCAGGCAGCGTTGCTCTTGGGAGGCACGTCTGAGAGTTGCATGCCCGATGTGGCCACAGCATAGATTCGGCTCTCCTGCAACGAGGAGAGGACTGTGTCCACCCCAGCCCCTCTGGCCATGTGGAGGTAAAAGCCTGGTGCTGGAGGTGGGCAGACCTGCGTCCACATCCCAGGAGGGCCAGTGGCTGGCTGAGGAATCTTGTTTCCTTCATTTCTGAGCCTCCTTTTCTTCCAAGGAGGTTAATACTTACCTTTCAAGCTGCTGTGAGAATCAGTGACATAATTAACATAAACATGGAACACCTGGAATATAATCAGTGCCCCACAGATACTCATTCCCTCTCTTACCTCCACCCTTACACTTGGGGAAAAGGAGGGTCAAAAGGAGGAGCAGTAACCTGCTGCTAGGAATATTGCCTCTTCTAGAGACCCTCAGATTTTAGGATCGCACCCCCAGAAGTTGGGAGTGTTGGTAATGAGGACATCAGGGCCATAGAATGAGGGCATGATTTTTGTTGTTTTGTTTTTGGGGTTTCTTTTTTTTTTTTTTTTTTTTTGATAGGGTCTTGTATCAAAGACTCTGTTGTCCAGGCTGGAGTGCAGTGGTGTCATCACAACTCACTGCAACTTCAAAGTCCTGGGCTCAAGAGATCCTCCTGCCTCAGCCTCCTGCGTAGCTGAACTACATACAGGTGCATCACTATGCCAAATTAATTTTCTTATTTTGTAGAGACAGGGTCTTACTATTGCCTAGGCTGGTCTCTAACTCCTGGCCTCAAGCAATCCTTCCGGCTCAGTCTCCCCAAAGTGCTGGGATGACAAGCGAGCACCTCAAGAGTTTTGTGACAAGACAGTCATTTGGAACCTAGAACTCATGTTTCTGCCTATAGTAAGAATGTTTTAACATGTCATGGTTAGGCTTCAGGGCCAACCTACAAAGGCTGTTTAACCCAGTGTGAAACCAGAACCCCAATACGAGTGACAGGTCTATAGAAGAATGCCCATCCTCAGGGTGCCTAGGGGTCTGAAGCAGCAGGGGAGCTTTATCTAATCGCTTTGATTGGCCCAAACCACCCACAAGGCCTGTCTATGCCTTTCCATATCTGTTTTCTCCACTAACCCTAAAGGGAAAAAACAAGGGCCCACTCGGGTGATTGGTGAGTCTCAGAGGCTGAGGCCTGCCTTTGGAGGAATGCCATGCGGCTCCCAGAAGCAGCTGGACAACTGTCACCATGGGGCCAACTGGGCTGAGGATGGAACTGGAAGGGAGGTGGGCTTCATGGTGGGAGGTTGCCCCAGAGGGAAGCAGCAACTCTGGGGCAAATGGGGAGAGGGGATGATGAGACATTAACATAACTGGGGGGCAGCAGGTAACAGCCGGAGACGGTGAGGCAGGCTGTCAGGGAGGGCACTGCAATGGGCAGGGCATTCTTGCTTACACAGGGCAGATATGCAAGGTTCAAGGGGCAAAATTCAGCATTACACGATTATTTCTGCCCACAGTGGTCATGGAATTCAACCAAGGACAGGCCTCTAACTTCACAGAGGAAATGAAATTTGAAGGAATTAGGTTAAACAAAACAGGACTGTTTGACAAAAGGTTATCTAATGCTGCGGGCCGCTGTGGACCAGCACCAGGCTGCATAGCATCACCACCTGAGCTCCACCTCCTGTCCCACCCCCAGCCCTGTCATGTGGAAAAACTGTCTTCCACGAAACTGGTCCCTGGTGCCAAAAGAGGTTCCAGTCTCTGTGGTCTGTTAGGAACGAGGAGGACAAGGACCAAATTACAGCCACTCCCCATCCCCACCCAAGCTCTGCCTCCTGTCAGATCACTCACTGCCTGCCACCCCACCCACCCTCCCTGTCTGTGGAAAAATCAGCTTCATGAAACCAGTCCCTGGTGGCAAGGTTGGGGACCACTAATCTAATAATGCCTGAAAGCACATAAGTATTTCTCACTTGAGAAATGAGGACATTGAGAAATGCCCTCTGAATTTCCAGTCTTTGCCTTTCCCCCAGATGGTCACTGCCAGCTGGTCCTGCCTAAGAGAGAGAGAGAGACTGGACACTCTGGCCACTGAGCTCCGTAAGCTCTCTGCCAGCCAGGAGCCTCAGGGAACTGGGATGGAGCTGACATTGGGTCTTATTTTCCCCAGAAGCAAGCTACTAAGAGGACTGTAAACAAGAAACACATTCTCCTTAAATTTCTTTGGGTGATTTTTGGGTCCCTGGGACCCAGCTGAGAGCAGAAAGGGTCTGTAGGAAGACCCAGAATTTGGCTGATGTTCATGTGGGGAGAATGTCATCATAGCATTTTATATACTTATTCTCTCCGTCTCACCCCTCCCCTCCACGTGTACAGGCAGAGCTCAAGACCCACTCCGGCCCATCACAGTGGATAGCTGTAATTTGGCAAAGTGTGAGAGTGAGCAACTCTTCTCTCCGCTGAGCCCTCTGGCCACATCCTGAATACTCTTTCACTCCCCAACTCTGCTTTAGGACTCCAGAGCAAAAAGAGAGTCGGCAGCCCCTGGGACCGGCATTTTCCATCCCCTGTGTTCCTCCAGGCCCTGCCCCGAGGCTCGGCTGGGTCTCCACTCTTGGAGGTATCCTTGCAATCAGCAGTGAGTTGGAGGTCACTGCTAAGGATGTAGCCGCAAAGCCTCCCTGAACCAGCATTTCAGAAGGAGAACCTGGAAGGTGCTGCTGAAAATACAGGTCTCCTAAGCAGCTGTATGGTATGGTGTCACCCTGATGTGACTCCCCATTCCCTCTGCTGCCAGGAGCTGACACTCAGATGCTTGTCTCCCACCACAGCAGCACCTGGGAGTCTGCCCACTGGTAAGAGGCTGCTCCAATATTGCCCCCTAGAAGCACATGGCCAGACTGGGAGAGGGGGCTTCAGAGGCAGCTGGACCTGGACTTAAGGCCTGGCTCCCTCACTAACCACCACATGACCTCGGGTCAGGACCTAAATCTGTGAAGTTAAGCGGTTTCCTAATCTGTAAAAGGGAGAAACAGCATGTAACTCCTTGAACAGGTAAGGATCTTTCCCACAGGCTGGGACGTGTTACTAAGCCCTTCATACCCTTGTGTCATCCTCACCAATGACCTGTGGAATGTCATTTATGTAGCCTGCCCCATGCTTATTTTTATTCTTTATCATGGAAAATGTCTGACACAAAAGCAGGGGGTATAGTGTAACAATCAACCTCATGTACCCATTACCCAGCTCTGCAAAGATCAGTGTTCGGCCAGTCCTGTTTCCTCTGTATCCTCTACCCCCACCTCAGACTGCTGCTTCTGAAGCAATTTCACCAGCTGTCACATCATTTTATCCAGTGTCACAAATAAGGAAGCTAAGCCTCAGGAATAAAAATAGGCAGTGGCTGGCTCGACGCCTATAGCTCAACCCGCTAAGGCGCCAGCCACGTACACCTAAGGTGGTGGGTTCGAATCCCCAGCCCAGACCCGCCAAACAACAATGATGGCTGCAACCAAAAAATAGCCGGGCGTTGTGGCGGGCGCCTGTGGTCCCAGCTACTTGGGAGGCGGAGGCAGGAGACTCGCTTGAGCCCAGGAGTTGGAGGTTGCTGTGAGCTGTAATGCCACAGCACTCTGCCCAGGGGTACAGCTTGAGGCTCTGTCTCAAAAAAAAAAAAAAAAAAAAGAATAGGCAGTGGTTACGTACCACTACCTGTAAACCACCACTGTGAATACTTTCATAACAACCCTATAAATAGGTTCTACTATTCCCATTTTATAGATAGGAAAACAGAGGCACAGATGTTTAGTAACACGTCCAGGGTCATACAGTTAGAGATTCAATCCTAGAGATTTGCTTCTGGGACCTGTGCTCTTACCCACCATACTAAACCACCTCAAAGAACCACAAAGATGAAATGATTCCATCTTCTAATCAACAAATAGAAAAAAAATAATATTAAAAAAAATGCAAAGATGAAATGAGGATAGCAAGTTGGTGGTCTGGGCAGGCAGGGTCCACAGTCCCTTCCTCCCAGGACTGCAAGGACACCAACCTCACCTCCTGCTCGGCAGGTGGATGAGCAGGGAGTAGGGATCCTGTCCTTAGCTCCGTCCCACCACCCGAGGTTGCCTCTTACCCAGGATGGAAACCGGTGCAGGGGGGGTGTGGGTGGTTTCTTCCCCAGCTCTACTTCCTCCAGCTCAGCTTGCAAGGTCTTTGGGCTCTTTCTTTCCTCCTTCCTTGCTGGGGGTGGCTCCTCCATCTCCATCTGCTCAGGTTCTTCCCGAGACTCAGCTTGGGCCTCCAGCTTGTGAAGGCCAGAGGGCTGGATTGCTGAGAAGGCCCCAATCTCAATGCTCACCACGTGGTGGAAGTGCCCAGGGCCTGCCTGCGGCTGGCTGTGGTGCCTTTTGGCCACCTGGATGCTGTCACGAGGGGTGCGAGGAGCCCGCACCTTTGGCAGGGTCAGGCTGCTGCCAGGGCCACCTTCTCTGGCAGAGGTCTTTGTTCCAGGGAGCATTACTCCCTGAGCAGTGACCAGGCCCTCACCCCAAGAAGCTGAACCATGTCTGGGAGTAAGAGTCTTCATGCTCAACTGGTGAGGACACCCTTCTCTTTCCAGATGCGGTTGAGGTGTCTTAGCCTCTGCTATTTCCCCAGAGTGAACCACACTGGAACCAGAATCCTCCAGAGGGTTTCCTGTTTTAGAAACAGAGTCCTTGCTCCTCAGAGCATCTGGAGAAGATGCAGACAGATCCAGCTTTAGATCCTGGACCTGGGGACCACTGTCCTGGCCCACAGTCTGGGTTCCTGGCCCTGAAGAAACAGATTCCTCCTCTGGGGCTCCCCGGGGGTCTCCCAGGAGCTTCCCTGAAGGAGCCATCTGAAGACCTGTAGTTGGGGCAAGAACAGGTGCACTGAGCTCCCTCAGCTCAGCCCACCCCCTACACGTACCCAGCCCACCTGCCTACCTTCAAGCGCATCTTGAAGGGCTCCCACTTGCTCTACTAGGTGCTGATTACAGCTTTTCAGGTGCTGATTCTCCATCTCAAGCTAGTGAAAAAGAAAAATGAAGATTTAGACTAACAAGCCTAGCTAGGTGTAGTGGCTCATGCCGGTAATTCTAACACTTTGGGAAGCCGAGGCAGGTGGATTGCTTGAGCTCAGCCTAAGTAGAGTGAGACCCCATCTCTACTAAAAATAGAAAAACTAGCTGAGCATTGTGGTTCATACCTATAATCCCAACTACTTGGGAGGCTGAGGCAGGAGGATTTCTGGAACCCAGGAGTTTGAGGTTGCTATGAGCTGTGTCATTCTACCCAGGTTAAAAAAGTGAGACTCTGTCTCAAAAAAAAAAAAGCCAATGCAGCGACTCATGCCTATAATCCTAGAATTTGGGAGGCCGAAGCAGGTGGCCTTGCTTTAGCTCTGTTTAAGCCCAGCCTGAGCAAGAGCGAGATCCTATCTCTAAGAATAGCCAGGTGTTGTAGCGGGCACCTGTAGTCCCTCCTACTCAAGAGGCTGAGGCAAGTGGATCACTTGAGCCCAAGAGTTTGAGGTTGCTATGAGCTGTGATGCCACAGCACTCTACCTAGGGCAACTGCATGAGACTTTTGTTTCAAAAGAAAAAAAAAATTAAAAAACAGACAAAAAGAATCAAGGTTTCATCTTTAGTTTCAGTAACTTCTAATTAAAATTTTAACATTTCTTCTAATTATGAATGTAGGCAACAAACCAATTAGTAGTAATAGTGCTTGAGATTTTTGTCACAGAAAGTGAAGTGAGGTGACTCAGCATTCAAGCTGTACAAAGGACAAATGGTTGAAGGTCAGTCAAGGAACCATAAATGGAAGGAGGCAGGAAAACTCTGGGGATGAGGGCAGCTGCTGGCCACACCTCCAGGCCAGGACCACCAGGGGAATTTTCAACTCACCTCTGCTAACTTTAGTGTCACCCATTCCTTGATCTTGGCGGCTTTCTCTTGAACAATTTTTGCTTCCTCAGCTCTTATCTGCTTCTACAAGAAAGTGAGATGGCATTTAGTTCCTCACAACGGGGACCAGGAAAGTGAACAACTAGAGGTGGGAAACCCTGGGAAGAAACATCAAGAGACCAGATGGGGTTGATCCAGTACAAAAAAAAATAAATTCAGATATAATTTAAAAAAAAAAATCTTTTTTTTTTTTTTTGAGACAGACCC